CGGAATCCATTGCATCAGAAGAAAACTCTGTTCAAGAACCATGTATTGGTATGGAATTTGACTCTGAAGATGCAGCCAAGGAATTTTATGATGAGTATGCTAGGCGTTTGGGGGTTTATAATGTGTATTGATCAGTGCCCGCTTTCAGAGGTGGATAAGAGAATTCTTTCCCGGGATTATCTCGTAATGAGCATGGTTATAATGCCAAAACGAGAGACCAATTTGGATTGGTTAGAAAGCCACGTGGTGGCTCACGAGTGTTAAGGGATAAAATCCCACGTTGAATAAAGATGAAAACATAGACCAATTTATAAGAGTTTGGGCTACTCCTCTTAATAAGGTTGACCTTTTAAGATGGAACCTCAATTCTTAACAACGAGAAGGTTGCAAGGCAATGATGCTAGTAAAGGTTGAGAAGGGTGGCAAGTGGGTTGTTTCAAGATTTCTAAAAGAGCATACTCATCCGCTTGTTTCTGTCTGTCCATCCCGTAATCAAATGGTGAGTAGTCATTTCTATAGAGGTCAAAAAACCAAATCAAGACCTTTTTAGCTGCCAACCGTAATTAGTAGAAAATGTATCAATAGTCAATACAGTTTACTTGTAATGCATGTTGCTAAGATGATAAAGTATATCCAGATTCTTGTTACTCAAGCTAGGGGAAGCTCGTTTGATTTCACAAGTTAAATATTTAACTTCAAAATTAAACATCATTTGACTTGGATTTTTTGCATGCCTACTATGAAAGAAGTATCGTATATGTGCTATCATTTCTTCTTGTCACAACTATAGGGATTTAATCAGGTCTCCAAATTGTTTTTGACATACATGTGCTTCTCTATTCACCACCTTGTCCTTTTTCTCTTTATTTTTTTCCTTTGTTCTGCACTTCCTGTATTTACTCCTTTCAGGCATACTTTGTTTTCTTTGCACTTCTTATCCCTCTTTCAGAGGCAGCATTTTTCTGTGCAGAAATTTTGTCTGATGATGACAGCTTTATAATAGCTTAGGTAGGTTTTGTAATTGTTGACATAGAAAAAGTGTAGCCCAAATTGAATAGTCCAAGGGGTGAAGCCCAATTGGGATATCCAGGATGAAGGTCCAAATGGGATCATTGAAGAATGCAGTGGAGGCCCACGAACAAAGTAACATCATCGCCCAAACTTGCAAGATGCCTAGAATCTGAGAGAATGAAGTGCCTTATGGTCGCCCAGAGCGATGATCTCATTCTCGCCCAAACCCTCTAATCGCCCAGGAATTGAGCTAATCTAAGGTATTATGGTTATCCAATACAGTAGTTATTGAGCAATCTTATCACACCCCACAATCCAAGGATCCCGGTTGTAGGCGATTAAATGACAAGAGTAATGGCAACAGTTAGAGACAGCAGTTCCACGACAAGTTGGCCATCATGAAGAAAGTGGATAGTTATAGAGCAATCAAGTAGTTTCCAAACAATTTGTCACAAAGAAATTATCAAGAGAGTATAGAAAGGAAAAGAATACATAGAGGAAAAGACCCCCGAATCAAACACTCTCAACAGAGAATATGTAATTTCAATTTCTTAGTTTAACTTTAAAGCACTTCTTTTTAGTACTTGTGTGCTTGCGTCCTCAATTGTAATCTTCACCAATAAAACACTCCTTTTTGGGACTTTGTCTCAAGATGTCTGTTCCTTGCACAATCATCTGATCCATTTTTTAATTATTAGCAATAACCCGCGCGAAACAGTAATACCTCATAAAGATGCAATCACCTTGTACACTTACCATCTTAATGTTGAATTACTAGAATTTTCACTTCAAAGCACTTGGCTATTCATCTTACGAAATGGATTTAGGGATATCGACTTGGAATCAGACGGAGTTTAGTTCACTCGTATCCTGAACTATGTCAGTCAAGCATCTACCTATTTGGGAGTGAAGATAAGCTGAACTGATGAGTTTTGGGAAGATAGGCTTCACTTCTTCCAAATCAAAAGACATGCTAATCTTCACACATTCATATTGTGGGCTCCTTCACCATTGTGAAAACAAACATAAAACTCACCGAGTCCAAGCTTGTTTGTCAGTGCGATTTTCACACGTCCATATTGCCAAGTTCTTTCTGGGCTCCTCTGCCATTGCAAAAACGAACATAAAACTCACCAAGTCTAATCTAATTGTTGGGTGTGAGAAGGCAGACTATAAGTAAATGAAGAATCTATCCTTTGACACTGAACTTGTTCACATAGATTGTAATTGAAACATAGTTAATGGTGGAAGCCGATAAGTGGTTCTGCACTGTGGTCAGTATGAGAGTTCGTCCTAGCTTACCTTTGGCTATCTTGTTTTGAAGTTCTCTTTCAACATCTATTGCATTCTTGCTGATAAAACACTTTCTTCGGGAGGGGGCATCACTTTAAACAATGAGGGGAATACATCAAGTTTCAGAACCACAGGGTAGTTACACGTGCTTGCTTGAAGATGCCTTGATTAAGTCAAGGTTTCAGGCATCACGCATTAGTTTGTTTTGTCTTTAATTTGGAATTGGTGTGTCCAGTACAGTATGCATCTGCGTATCCTTTTTTGTTTTATTTTTTGTAAAACTCATTTCTTGTGCAATTTCCATAATGATTGGTGATTCCTTCTGTAGAATCCCAAGGACAGGAAAATACAAGTATTAACATTGGAGTTGGAACATCACTGAGACCAGCTAACTACGCTTCTGAATAATGTTGAGGAGCAAACAGAACTTCTCTCGTCCAAAATCCAAGAAGTTGTTGGCAATGTAAGAGAATTTGAAACACAAGTACAAAAGTCATCAAATTGTTCATAGCCCATGTAAAGATTCAGCATGTAACAGATCTTTCTGGTAATTCCATTTCATTTTAGGTCATTATTTTCAATATGCAACACATTAATTTCTTAAAGATTAAAATCTTGCCTATTAATCTTTGTAGGCATTATTATTCTCCAGAATTCTGATGTGTCCCGTGAAATGCACTGGCTGTTGTACTATGCGCATAGGTTCTACTGGTTGAGATATGCCGGGCATGGAGCAGCAGAAGTTACACAGGCAAGGTGTTCGTTGTAAAGTTGACAAAAGTCAAAACGTTCAATAGTTCATTTGTTCTTGATAACAATTTCTTCACAAGAAATGGTCTAGCGGATTTTAATTGTGTAACTGATACAGCGCAAATGTTATATGCATTCAATTACTAAACATTTGTTCTGCCTTCTGTATATAACTTAAATTGCTGTAAATATACTCTGAAGACATTGAATCAGATTACTACTTGTTCTGGAAAAATAAAATAAAAATTAGGAGCATCAGGTCTTCATCATTTTTAACATCCAGCTTGTCAGATAGAAATTGGGTTCATCTGGTTAACTCATTCTGACTCTCGAATTGTTGAAACCATCGTGAATGAGATTGTTATCCACTCTGTTGTCTGATACTGGTTGCCGATAAATGTTCAGTAACCAGTTTTTACTACGAGTTGATTGTTATGTGAAGAAGCCCGTGCATGTGTTTTGATACGTCTTTAATTTGTCATTTGTAGAGTCGAGTTCACTCTAACCTACCGAAAATGCTGATAAGAACAGGAGGAAACTTGCCTACAAAAACCAAATCACCAAATGACTAGATTTCATAATCTGAATGTTCCTCAGACATGTATGTCACACATACTATGAATTAGTCTATGAAAGTTATTTTTTATAGGCAAAGTGTATGGACTTGTTGGGAATATAATAGTTTCTGTTTGTTTATTATATTTATACGTTCTGTCTAACTTAGGTATCGACAAATATTTCTTTTTTCTATCAATGAGTGCCACGAACAAGATTCTAATTTCTTTTTCTTTCTTAATATTGTCGAGTATTATCTAATCTATCGAAAGTGAATGACACAACACGAGACACATTTTTTTGTTATTCATTAGGTTTAATCCTATGTATCAAACATCGTCAAGTGCCTGTTCAAAGCAGGTAAGTATAATAAAAGAAGTTTAAAGGAAGAAACGAAACGGACAAGCATTAATCAAGGTTAGCTGTGTTTCTCTGTCCCCACAGCTAGTGACATGTTGATACGCATCAATATGAAAATTCACAAACTCTCCATAAATTCTGATTATCCTTTCTCTTTCCTTATCCCTTCCATTATACATCTAATTCTGCCATTTCTCAATCAATAATTCTTTATATTGATTTATATATATTGATTTATATATACATGATATACATTATATCTTCCTAGGAATCTAAATATGAATAAAAAAAAAATGATGTGTAACTAAATCACCCTGCTAAAATTACACTATCATCATACGAATGTCCAAATGGATGAGTCTAACAAGTCTACCGGTAAGAAAGGAAGGGGAAGAAGCATGCCGGGATAGATAGAATTTTGTAGAAAGTGGTATGACATATTCGTTCTATCCATCTAGGATATATTGGATGAGTTTCTTTTTATGTGCCTTTTCGAGTTTGTGCCTTATAAATAAAGCTAGTCGTCGCTTCTAGGCTGACCACTACAAAGAGAGTACCGTCGAAGAAAAAAGTCTTTCCCTTCCCATCTCGGGTCAACTAATTGAGTAAGTGATAAGTGTGGTTCTCGAGCAAATATCTTATTTTTAGAACAGGAAGAGATTAGTACCACAAGCCAGTTGTGATGAAGAGGTGGAGTGGGCGAGAAAAAGGGAAATGAAGAGATGTAAAAGAATTCACACAGCCGACCCCGAAGGTTTATTTTTTTTTTGTCGAACATGATAATTTATATAGCCCCGTTTGGTTCCTGCTTTCGAAAACTTATTTTTCCTCGAATTCATTTTCAATCGTACATTCTCTAAGTAAAATAATTTTTCGCTTACTTTTTCTTACTTTTTAACTATACATCTCAAAAAGAAAAAAAAAAAAAATCACATTTCATAAAATCAATTCTCAAAAAATATCTACCGAACCGAACTTAACATTCCCAAACACCCTTATGAATAAATTAATGGTGGTCAATTACACGAAAATCATTTCTTGATGTTCTTGCCTTTTCCATTGCGAAACAATGTCCCTAAACCAAAGAGATTACCAGTACTCACAGAAATAACACAAGGAGGTGGCCCATTCAATACAGGACTAAGCCCTCTAGAATTTTTCCTTAATGGCGGCTTTTGTGAACAAAGCTTTGCAGAAGATGGTGAAGTCATAGCCATAGAATTCTTGGACAGCTTCTTTGGATTGGGCACAGAGCCAGTTGAATTACTACGGGATAACGAAGACCAAATCGAACTTTTCTTGGAACTGTGATCATAATGAAGGCTACTACTTCTCTTCAAATGCCAGAAAGGTGCCTTCGATGGATGCTTTTGATCAGATTGATCTATACTTTCCTGCTTTAAACTCTGATCCCTAGGAGGAGGAGATGGAGATGGCAGTGGAGGCTTAGACGTCGAAAATTGTTTCGAATTGATGAACTTTTCTTGAAGTTGAAGAGGTCTGATTATGCCATTTGAAAATAGCTCATCTGCTAGACAAGTTTCATTACTGGTAATGCAGAAATCAAAATCAGAAGTCGAGTCTATCTGTGCAGAATCTGAGCGATATGGGGTCTCTTCAAACATCGCAACTTCATCAGAAAATGAGATTCTTGGATTATCTGTGATGATCATATGCTCAACGGCCATGGTTTCCATATGATCAAGATTATGGTTGTTGTAGATTTGGATAAGAAGATCAAATCTGGTGTTTGTTAGACCAACATTGAGAAAATTGACAGGATGGTTTTACTAGTCAATTACAGCTATAGCTTCTATCTTGAATGAGACTTTTTGACTTTTTCTGGAGCATGTTTCTCACAGATTACAAACAAGTTGAAGGAATTTAAGGAAAGTGGAGCGGTTGGCTTCAAGGTGCAAAAGCTTTGTCAGAGTTTCCTTCCTACAAAGGCAAAATAAAAACAGTGTCGAAAATTGGCAAAGTATACTAGCTGAAGCCTGAAGTTGGACTATACCATAGAGCCAATAGACGTACGATGCAATTAACAGATAATGTGGTTGACTCTTCTCACTTATCAAAAGTTCCGACACTTCACTACAAAATTTAACTCAAAAGTTTCGAGATTCTATTGAAAGGACGATAGATTTGTACTCGTCTCCTACAATAATTCCTATGTTAAGATTTGATTTCCATCTTAAAATGTCAACTTTATTAAGAGACGTAGCTCAATTTTTTATAAGTTGGTCTATATTTTCATCTTTATTCGATGTGAAATTGTATTCCTTAATATGCCCCCGCAAGATGGTGGCTCGTTTGAGCGGACGATTCTTGAAATCCGATGGAACCACAAATCTTAACATGGTATCAAAGCCCATCAAATTCCAGCGAGCAATTCGATCCGATTAAGACTCAAAAAAATTGAGCACACGGATTTCAAGATTGATCTACTCAAACGAGCCACCATTTTGCGAAGGCATGTTAAGGGATAAAATCTCACATCAAATAAAGATGAAAACATAGACCAATTTATAAGAATTTGAGTTACTCCTCTTAATAAAATTGATATTTTAAGATGAAACCTCAATTTTTAACAGTTAAGGGATAAAATCTACATCGAATAAAGATGAAAATATAGACCAATTTATAAAGGTTTGGATTACTCCTCTTAGCAAGGTTGGCATTTTAAGATGGAACCCAAAATCTTAACATCCTAAAGCATAATTTTAAACAATTTTAGCTTATAATCAATCATTCTACGGATTTATTCATCGGCCATGTTCAGCACAAAAAAGATTTTGACTTATTGTCTTCGAAAGTACTTAAACTTTTACTAACATGCTTCGATCATTATTTCGAATTATTGGCACTGAACTTGTTTGTTGTTCAAGTTTGCTTAACTGCTCCATTTCATGATGTCGAATAACTGCCCCATTCCATTATTGCAGTAGAAAGAGTCAGGGGATTTTTTTGCTTCTAGAAATTCTTTTTCTTTTCTTGGAAGTAAGAGCTTGTTTGGTTGTGACTTTTTGAAAATAAATTTTGTAAAAAGTGATTTTTATGAAAAACGTGAAATTAAAAAGCAGAAAAAAATTATAAATTCACCTACAAAATTATTTTATTGGAAGAAATATATGATTTTTATAATTTTGAGAAAAAAAATGAATTTTAAAAACACATGCACCAAACGGGTCTAAATAAAAAAAAGTTAAAAGTCATATAAAAGAGAAATAATGTAGATTTTAATTTAAATTATACAGTTTACTAATATTATTGACTTTTGTTTGGTGACTTGCCATTTCAACTACCAAATTATGACGTTTGTTTGTTTTCTCCAACTAAACAACCAAATATTAATTGCAAACGGCTTACCACAAAATTAGATGGTTAAGAAAGAGACAAAACAATTTCAAAGTAAGATTAGACTATTTTCATTAGAACTATTCTAAGATGATTTTGTTTCCGTAGTCCTTATTTTGTAATAGAGTAATGTTATTCATCCCCAATTGGGATGAAAACATAATTTATGTGGTTTTAAATGATATGTTAAGTGAAAGGTGAAATTAAATTTCACATATCATTTAATGCTACGTTGACGTCACGTAGACTGTGTTTTCATCCTCAGTGGGAATGAATAGCATTACTCTTTGTAATATTAGGTCGATCTCTTATGAAGCAATAAATAGCGAGATATCGTTGAAAAAGAACTTTCGTGAACTATGGAATTTGGAAGTGCATTCTAGTGTCGATTTTTTCAAAATGTAATTGGCCTTCATAAATTGTGATTATGTTGTGTGAAAGATCAGGCCTGCTTGGACAATCTTATTAAATATTATGTGGGCTTCCATTTGATTACAAATTTTACGAGTTAGATGTATGGTTTGCAATGATACTATGATTAGGCTCAATATGTTAGCGATCACTTGAGCCGTTGTACACTTTAGGGTTATATTATTATAATGTGGTAATTTTAAATATGTGGGCCGGAATTATATGAACCCTAATTAGAGTTGGAGTTGGTAATGAACCGATTTTATGATTTCCTATATAATGGATAGGTCCACTCTCCTCTCCATATCGTTTCGGCTTGCCCCATTGACGACTGATTATTTTGAAGAGCGATGAGAGGAAGATCTAACTGGTAATATTCAAAAACAATAATGTCTTCCGTATGTATGAATTTCAATCTACCAATTTAGAATACATGATTCTTGTTATTGACATGATTATTGTGAAACTATAACAAAACCTTCTTAATTTACTATAAATTCATTTTATAACAATAAAAATGTGGCTTAAATAGAGATGTCATCAACATTTTATTGTCTCATTCCCGATATTCTATCTACTTCATAATCTATATACTCTCTATTTGGACCCATTTATCTCCATAATGTAAGTCGACAAGAGTTATGTCCATTACTGCCAAAAAGAGTTCATAGAATCATATTAGTACATTTTAGTTTATCCAAGCAAGCCAATTGGAATAATTAAAAAATCTGTATTATGAAATACTTTTTAATGAAAAGTTACACAATATGGTACTCGATCATATTTTATAGTTAACACAACAAAATATAAGGAAATAATTATTAGATTAAACTGTTTATATAATGATTTTTTAAACATAGAGCCAATCATCCCTCGTATGATACTTTTTATTGAAAAGTAACACAATGTGATACTCTAAATTGTCCACTCGCTCTTGTCTACTGGTTGTTATGTGCACTAGTTGGCTGTGGCTTTTGGTTTGTTAGTTTTAGACGGTCGATGCCGAGAAACTTGATATTGGAAGAAGTTCTTTTGATTCAAGTGACTTAATTCACGAATTCACTGAGAAGAGCTTTGAAGGTGCAAGAATTCCCTCCCAATGCCCTCCTGGCTCATACTGACCATGAACTGGATGGTGACTCTGTTGAATTACGTAATTTGATATCTATTGGGTTAAAGTCCTCAAGATTGAGACATTTGCTGGTTTTCATGACAATCCATTTCGATCAGATCGATCAGATTCAAGTTTCACGTTCGTAAGCTGAGCTCGATATCATGTGTCGGGGAACATTCTTTGTCAAGTTTGGTTCAATTATATACCAACGAGAAATTGTTGAAAATGTTATACTGTAAAATCTTCATCACAATTGTGCTTGGTGTACATCTTGATATACACATTTGTTGACGGAATGCCACGTGACATTTTGTCATTTGACAATTTAAACAAAAAACTGTTTTTTGTAGCCGATAAATTTTTGCCAACACACCATATATCAACAAAGATGTTAAAAATATAATGTACAAATGGCAAAATCCTCTTCATCAATACTGAAAGATTCACAAACTCAGCTTTTTGGTGGTTAGAAGCAAAGTGTTGCCATAGCCAGAGGTAATCCCAAAAGATCAACTAAATTTACTTTTAGATGATGCAACACGGAGATTCAATTGTTCTTAATAAAGCACGAAATAACTATCATCAGAAGGAAGGAGTTGTCATAGGCAGAGGTAATCCAAAAAGGTCGACTAAATTTAATTTGAGATAAGGCAACATGGAGATTCAATTGTTCTCAATAAATCAAGAAATAGAAATTATAGATTGTTCTCCATAAAGCAAATTTTAGCAAAATCGAAATCAAATTAACAAAATAAAAAATCAAATTAGGAAAATCAAAACTTGATTTATGCAAAATTTCAATGTAGGTTGAGGATTGATTTTGCTGAAGTACGTTTTTTCCCTACCGTTTTTTGTTGAATGTAAGTTGATGATTTTTTCATATAAAAGCAATAATTGGTTGGATTCTTCAACTGAAATCGATCGCTCAAGTTTGATAATCAATATAGAAGATTCCCCTTTCAGATCATTGAATAATAATAGAGAAGCCATTCTGGAATAATATTATCGAAATAATATTATGAAAGAATATAACGTATTTTTAAGTTCTTCTTTAGTGGGCTACTATAAATGAGTTTAGCCATTCCTTTAGAACGGCCTTCTCCTTCGACTATGGCTTTTATTTTAAAGTCTCTATAGAATAAACAATGTGAACTATCTGCCTCAAAAAGATAGTTGTAAGAAATGAGTTCCTTAGTTTGTAATTATTGTTTTTTTTCCCTCTTGCTTTGCACGCCCCACAGAGAGAGATTCCCAAAAATAAATAAATAAATAAATACCAACACAACGTAAAAAAAAAAAAAAAAGAACAATCAACCATATGATTAACAAGTTTTAATCGTAGGGCCTCTCTTTGATCGAGTTGACTTGGTGGCTCTCAAAAGTTATTAAGATTCTGTTTCACAGTCATTATTTCAAAACTTTTTTTCTACATACTTAACCTCTCGTTTGATGGAAATTATCTAGAAAAAATAACGTTTTGAATAGTGAATTTTTAGAGGTGTGGTTAAAAAGTAAGAAAAATTTTAGGTTTATGTGCAAAATATTTTATTATGTGAATGTGTAGTGAAAAATTAATTTGTAGAAAAAAGAGTTTTGAAATAATTGTTACCAAACAATGACTCATTTTTAATTATACATTCATACAATAAAATATTCTGATCTAAACTCAAAACTTTTTTCTAAATTTTTAGCTACACACTCTCCCAAAAATTATTATTCAAAACTCAATTTCACCCAAATAAGGGGCAAATCAAAATCTTTATTTTAGTAGAAGACGTAAATTGCAGTTTGGCCCCCCAAAAATAGTGTAATTCTGCATTTCCCCCTTAGCTTAAATAATTATGGGGAAAAATTCACTTTCCCT